GACACGTTTTTCCTAGGAAGGATAGCTGCAATGTGGGTCCTTATGAGCTTTATAAATTCCGAGTAACTAGTTATAATGTCAGCGTCCGCATCGTGCGTCCCGACGACAGGCAGAAAGCTAGAGTCCTTGGCAAGACGAGAGTATAATTGTGCTTTTAGCAATTTATTGAGCTTAATTTTATAGACAAACCTTTTTTGGGGGATGAAATTACACCCTAACCTGACCGACACCGGAAAATGATCGCTCCCCGCAGTGTCCTGCATTCTATTAAATGAGCAGAGAGGGGCAAGGCTGGCCGTAGCGATGGCGAGATCTATAATCGAAGCCGGCGACCCAGGAGGGGTAAGAAAGGTTGGACTTTCATCATTGAGGATTAAAGAGTTGTTGTTTTCGATTAGTTTGGCGATGGACGTTCCAACTCCGTCTGTTCTATCGCAGCCCGACGAAGTGTGGTGCGCATTGAGGTCACCTGCAAGGAGAACGTGTTTGTAGCTATTAAGCAGATTGAATACAGCGGAAAGCGCCGAGGGAGGAGTGCGTTGACTCGGATGGCGATAGACATTAAAGATATACACGGGCTCCCCGAAGCACTCCAAGCGAATACCGATTACCTCTAGTGATTTATGGAAGTTAAAATTGTCGTTGAGCAGCGTAAATTTGAGATTATTGCTTATTATGATAGCTACACCACACTCTCCCTGAGCGCATCTATCCTTTCTCACAACACGGCTTCCTCTCAGGAATATTTTGGAAGCAGGATTTAAAAGAGTTTCTTGAATGCAGATAACGTCAAATTCTTCTAAGAACTTTTGAATTTCTGGAATTTTGCTCTTCATGCCTCGGCAGTTCTTAGACATGATGTTAGTTGAGTTATGATTTTGAATAAATTTAGTATGATTAGACGGGAGTGAGGGAGGTTGGGGGGAGGAGGGGAGGAAAGGAAGGGAAAAGGGTAGGGAGGGAGGGGATAAGGGGATAGGGGGTGGGAAGGTAAGGGGAGTTACATGAAATGTGAGGGACCCGCCGTAGGGGAGAGCCCTCGCGGAGGAGCCGGACAAAAATCCATCCGTTGTGAGGGAGTTGGAGCACTATTCGCGTTAAAGAGTTCCAGAAATTGCATTATTTTATTCACGATGGGGGACAAGAGACTAATAAGAGACAGAATTTGTTGTAATGTGGTGGAGAAATCCGAAGATCCATTTAGTCCTAGAGTTTTAAGAAGGTTTAGCAAAGAATCTACACCTGTGCTGGAGTTACTAGCGTTGCAAGAAGGAGAGCTATCATGACTCAGGTTCACCGACGGGGGGGATTTCGAGAAGAATATACCATTTCCCGATTGAGACGGCATGCGACCGTTGGTGGTTATCAAATGATCTTGATATTGGTTGTTTTTCTGAGAAGAAGAGCGCAGAGATCGGATTATCTGTCCTTTACTGGGAGGTTGCGAAGAACCTGTGGCTGTTGTTATACGATGCTGGGCCTGCCGGCGCGATTCGTTAGAAGTAACCTGGGAGTAAGAAGTGTAATTACTTGGGGGAAAATCGTGTGGATAGTCCTCAAGTATATCAAATCTGTTACTTGATTCGTAGTTGTTGCCGTTGCCATAGGATAAGGGGGGGCTGGAGCGAAGACCAGAGCTGTTTCCAAATGGAGAGGATTGCGCGACTCTTTTTTTAGCATCGATGAGTGGAATATTATGCGACGCAGCAAGCGAAAGAATTTTCTTTTGCGTAATTAGAGCAGGGCAAGAGAAATCGATGGGGAGGTGCTCACCCGAACAGTTGATGCAGCGCGGCTTACCATCCCTCTGTGGGCACACTGACCCCTCCGCATGCGGAGAATTACCACAGTACTGGCATCTCGGCGGGCTTCTGCAGGCCACAGCAGCATGACCCATCCTAAAGCAGGAGTGGCAGATGCGGGCCTTCGGAACGTAGGGGCGCACCTCGTGTCGCGCCCAGAAAAGAATCACGTAGGGCGGCAAAACTTGACCTGAAAATTTCACGCATATAGTACGAGAAGGTATGTATTGGGGCTTATTGTCAATTATAATCCGTCTATTGAGGCGTTGGACATCAATTACTTTTTGGTTAGAAACTAAAGCATTTTTTATCTCTTTTGAACTAAATTCTTGCGGGACATTGCGGATTACCCCTGCCCTTAGAATTCTGTAGTTGGGGATTACAGCTTTGTAGTTAGAGGCAGCAAGCATAGGGTTAGATATGAATCTGTTGGCTGCACCAGCCGATTTACACTCAACGGATATCTTACCCATTCCGAGTTTTTTCATCTCCACGATGTCTGCGGAAGGCATTATTCGACCGACCTCGGCGAACATTTTCATTGGATGTATGCTCGTACGGTTGTTGCTCAAGGCATGTACATGAACGATGTACGGAGAAGAGTCTTGATCCGTGTAGGTATTAATTCTTTCTTCAAGCCTGCGAGATTTGGCATTGTCTGTTGCCGAGCGCGGGGAAGGCGCGCATCCCGCATGCGCAGATGATTCGGAAGCAGAAAACGCGATGCCGGAAGCTGATTCCGCGCACCCCCCCTCGTCCGCATCCCCCAGCGGACGTTTGTTACCTCTGTTTGGTCCAGCCGATGAAAGCCGCAGCGGGGAAGTCGTCGCCGAGGACGGCTTGTCGATGTCCATTCGGTCCTCTGTGATAGTAGATGAGCGGTTGGATTCTTGAGAGTAAGCGGTTATAAACTGCGAGTCCGCAGACGGCAACGAGTAGTCCCGCACATTGTTGAGAACCGATTCAGATGCAAAGCCATTGGCATCCATAGGCAAGGATGGGGTAGGATGTGGATAAGGAGGGCAGTTGTTAAATTCTTTGGGAGATGGACGGCCCTGCGCGAGGGCCATTTGGCCTTCAAACTGAGTGAAATGGTCTAAGGGGACCGAGAGCGCGGGCTGTGCACACGGGACAGCATGGCCGATAACACCGCCGCCCCCCCCCCCCCCAGTCCCGCACGAGGCCGTAGCCTCCGACATAGCTGCGAAACAGCTATCACTAAAGCGGTTTTTAAGAGATTCGCGTGCCAGAAGAAAAGAGGAGATAAAGGGACTATGCCCTCCACACACACCGTCGCGAGGATTAGCTTTGTGCACTTAACACTTCGTCTCTCTAACGAGCGCAGAAGAAACACGTCCGATCAGCACCATAGACCGCGGCCATCCTCCCCCAGACGGGGATAAGCCGGCCAGAATCTTGTTAACTGAGATACTTATTCGTGAGATAGAAACTGTTAAGTTAGTAAGGCCCATGGTGTAAGAGTGTAAGAATACAAGGTGAAACATTCCCGTGGATGCGCAGTAGTGACCAATCAGAATTGGTCACAAATGCTGAAAAGCAATATAGCTGCTACGTCAGTTGTTACAATCGAAGGTTAGACAGAATTTGAAATTTAAAATAGAAAAACTGTTGAGAAGCAATGCCGACGTGTTGCATAAAGAATTGTACAAGTCGCACAGACGGTATATATAAGAAAAATATTAAATTTTTTAGATTTCCTAAAGAAACTGACATTAGTCAGCGATGGCTTCAAGTTTGTCAAAGGAATGAAATAAATACGAAAATTGATTCGGGTAAATATATATATATATATGGTAATATAAGATCCGCCTGCACACAATGTAGGAATATTAGATATTAAGAAGAAAAGAATAATATTAATATTCTTTCTTTGTGCGCAAAATCTAATTTTTAATTACATTTAATAAATAAATTGAATAAAATTAATTAATTAATTACTTAATTAATATTTAATAATATTATAATAAACTGAATAAATAAAATAAATTAAATAAATTACTGTAATATTTAGTTATATTAATAAATATGTTATAAAATATAATTTTTAGCATTTATATGCGAGCTGCATTTTGAAGCAGATTGCTTCGAAATGAAATGGACAAAGCCACATTCGAGCAACGTGCCTGCTAAACAATTAAAGAGATTAAAAAAGGGTAGTATTCCTTCAAAAATGTTAATAATAGAAAAAACTAGAAAAAGAACATATACGCAAATTATAAAAACAGATAATATGGAGCAATTAAATGATGAAAATATGTATGTATTTATAATATATTATATTTTTAATGTTATATATATAATATATTATAATATATTTATCATATAACATATACGTATATGAAAAAACGATATTTATTAAACGATATTTATTTTTTATTTATATTATTAATATATATGAATCCTATACTCATCCTAATCCTAATCTGGATTTATAATATTTAATATTTATTTTTTTATTTATATATAATATGTATGTATTTATAATGATATTTATTTATAATATGTATTATATGGTATATTTGTGTAATAAATTATTTATTTATTTATTCTATGTATGTATTTATATTCATCTGATCCTACACTGATTTCACTCAATTGTCGAGAAGAATCCCGGATCTTTAAAATTTTCATTAGCAAATCACTATCTTTACTTAACTGTAATTTTGCCGGACTCTGTCGTGATTCTGTCGAACTTGAATTTCTCTTTATTAATTTTGTTATTTTTTGTTATATAGATATATATTTTTTTATATATTTATATATTTATATGTATATTTATAACATATATTGAAATAAATATAATAAATATAATAATTATAATAGATAAATTAAATTAAAAATGAACAAATAATAAATAACATAAGTAAAAATAAATAAAATATAATAAAATATAATAGAGCTAGTTTATTACAATACTATTACAAAAAATATTAAAATAAATAATAAAATCAAAAAATAAAATTAAAAAATAATTAAAAAATAAATAAAGTAAATAAATAATATTATATATAATAGTACTACTAAAATGCTATTACGTTTTACAGAAATAAAATTGCTGATCACGAAAATGTCTCTGTAAAAACGTTACTGAATTTGCTGACGAAAATAGAGGAAGAAAAGAAAAAGCTCTCAATAGAAATAAATCAATTGATAAAAAGGAATCAAGAACTTGTTGAAAAAAATATACAACTATGTCAACAAGTAGAACAGTTGCAAACAAGCGTGGAGGAAAAATCTCGTATTATTAGAGAAACGATCATTGTACATAGGCAGAAGGAAGCCGAAAAAATAGCTACAGAATTCTTGCGCAAAATATTTACATCTGGTCAAATAAAAAAAGTAATATCACTCAATAACAAACGGATCAAATGGTCATCCGAAGATATTATATCTGCAATCGGCCTGCGATCATTAAGTCCAAAGGCTTATCGTTATTTAAGAGAGGTAAAAAATATACCACTGCCGTGCATGACAACCTTGCAAAACTGGTGTGCAGCTTTTAATGTTCCACCTGGCATTTTAAAAAACGTATTAAAAATCATGAAAGAGAAAGGACATAATTTTAATACAATCGACAAGTTAACTGTATTAACTTTCGATGAATTGTATATTTCAAATAAATTAGACATTGAAAGAAAGGAACAAAAAATATATGGTTCTCATAAAACATGTCAGTTTATTATGGCACGAGGATTATTTAAAAAATGGAAACAACTATATTTTACGATTTTGATCAGCCAATGTCGCAAAATATTCCTTTTTCGCGTAATACACGAGCTTAATTACCAAGCTGAATATATTGTTGTGTCAATAA